AACTGCTGTCGGATCTATTCATGACTTCAGGTGAACTAGACAGCTGTGCAGAGACCCCCCCCCCCCCCCACCTGTTGTGCTTGTGTTATATTAAAGGATTTTTAGGAAAGTCCTCATATTTCATGTGTGGTGTGTGAAGTTTACTTGTGCAGCTTTAAACATCACTCTTTATGTGAAGTTCTCTGCAATGATTCTGTTCTTATGTGCCTCTGAAGTTTGAATTCACCTCATGTCTTAGTTTGCCTCACTATCCAGTGACCATGTAACGTACAGCCAGTATTTAATAAATAAAGCAATCTGTCTCTTCAGGAGTTAAAGGCCTCTGCTGTTACTCACTCAGATAGCATGTGTTCTGTCAAACAGCGCGTCCTGATTGAAGGCAGCACACTATCACAAGTCACATGATGAATCTGTGAAGGAAACATCTTGTGCATCACCAAAGCACTTCAAATCTGTTGGAGATGCATCAGGCGGCCAAATGAACAGCTGCTGCAACACGGTGACCACGATTCCCACCAAAGTCCATTCAGCAGCTGCTCAGAGGATCCTCCTTCAAAGAGGAGAGTACTCCATTAATCCTTGCACTCCTTTAACTATTACTGCATTTATTATCATTATCATGCTACTAGATCCACTGCTGCTGTTCTCATTAGTGGTCATCATTTTTCTATTATTGGTGCTACTGCTGTCATAACCACGCACATATATATCATTTCTATCATGTGCATTGAATGTGTTTTAACTCTGTTCTGTTCATTCTGTACACATGACATCTATCACACTTCATCCTGATAGAGGATCCTCCTCTGTTGCTCTCTCAGGTCTCTCCCTCTTTTCTCCCCGTTAAAGGGTCTTTTGGGGAGTTATTCCTGTTCTGATGTGAGGGTCAAAGGTCAGAGGATATATGTGTACAGCAGTGGCGGGCCGTGCATGTTATACCTGGGCCTTCACTGCTGTCCTGCAGCTGAAATACAGCTACGGTTATTTGTTTTGTGTAAAGATGAAGCTCAACACCTATAAATACACTAACTGCAGAGAATACGCCGAGACTGTCTCCTCTCTGACTGCTGCACGAGGCTTCTGTGAGAGTACCCGCCTGCGAGTGCTTTGGGGCGGCGGAGCGGCTCACGGCAGCACCGCTGCTCGTTCACCACAGTGCAGAACGTACGAGCTTTAACGTCAGAGTCACAACACCGGAACAAGTCTCCAACAACACCGGAACAAGTCTCCAACAACACCAGAACAAGTCACTCGATTTGTCGCTAGTAGCTTTTGACAAAAAAAGTCTCCATGAGGGTTTAGAAAGTCACCAGGTTTAGCGAGAAAGTCGCCAAGTTGCCAACACTGGCACCGGCTAAATATGTCCCCAGAGCAACATAGGATGTAACAATAACATTGTTACGTGGGCGACCGTGGCTCACTGGGTTAAGAGGGTTGTCTGGTAACCGCAGGGTCAACAGTTCGATCCTTGACGTGTCAAAGTGTCCCTGAGCAAGACACTGAACGCCCGGGTGCCTATCATTGGCAGCCCACTGCTCCCTGTATATGTATATGACAATAAAATCCTAACTTTGAAATAGTTCCTATCACATATTAACCCAAACAAAAATCCATCTTCATAAAAACAAGTTGTACAAATAATAATATATAAACAAGCATATTAAAGCTACTGCATAGCTGCTGTTCACTATCTAAAGACAAAGTGCATCCTCCTTTCTTTGTTAAAGAGTTTAATCTCACGATTGTTCAGTACATCCGTGTGTTTAGTTCCAGTAAGAAGTCCTTCTGGATTCATGGACGCCAGTGAAGACAGTGGAGCCTCCCCAGTTGTATTTCTTGAATACGTTTTAATGCGTATTCTGAAAATAATAATGCGTAGGCTGAAAATGTCCGCTCCACAGAGGCAGCAGATATTGGGATTGTCACCGCCCAACATGTCACGCTAGCCCACTGACCAATCACGTACTTGTAGACCAGCTAGCAGGCTCTGACACGTCAAAGAATACGCCCAACATGTCAAACTAAAGATCTGATTGGTTGAACACTATGACAATCAACAACATCGTCCCCATGCACTTAAACTGCACATGGATTCACTTGTGAGTCTGCAGGCCTCTGCCTCTCTTCTTACCTAGAGACACAGAGGTGAGATCTGATTGGATAAAAGCTCTACTTAAAACAAGCTGCACTGGAAGCAGAGCAACTGAGGAAGACAGTAGCTGTGCAATGAGAAAATAAGATAATGGGAAAAAAATGATAATACATGTAGTGTATTTAAGAAAAATGATTAAATTATAAAATAGATGTAACTTTGTGATTGTGTCTAGGCCAGCAGAGAAGGCCTTGCTGGCCCTGACGGCCCACCACTGGTGTACAGACTGTAAAGCCCTTTGAGGCAAATTAGTGATTTTGGGCTATACGAATAAATTAAATTGAATTGACATTGTCAGACTCATGATAGGCAGTTTAAAAAAAAGATTGATGCAGCAGAAGCAGCAAAATCACATTTCTTCTTCTTTCTTGTTAAAAGCTGGTGCCTACATGCAGCTCAACCGTCAACACATCTGTTGGAGATTTAGGTGTGTCATGCTTGCTAAATGTTAAATGGGCTTGCACTTGTATAACACTACATGTCATCATTCACCCATTCATACCCATTCATACACTGATGCAAGGTGCCACCTGCACATTAGGACTAACTTACCACTTATCCCCACACATACACAGAGAGCAGACTACGGTCGTGGCTAATGTAGCCTGGAGTCTCAAGCCTGCAGCAGAGACGAGCAGCAGGCTACAGAGGTCTGTAAGATCACTTCTTTCTAACTCCACACCTCTAGATTTCTTTACTATTCAGAATTGTAGTCTTCAGACCCAACCGACGCTGACTCAAGTGACATCACTTGAGGACATTTATCAGCCTTCACTCTGCTCCCTCTGGAGACATTAAAGACTTCATACAGGTGTAGGAGAACTCCTCAACAATCAGTGGAGCTGCCCTTCAACAGATGCTGCTGCCCTGTTTTTATGGAATTGTAGGTTTTCAAATTTCCACTCAATTCATGAACAATGAAGCTCTTTCTCAGTTGAATACACTCGGGGGGGGGGGGGGGGGTTTGCTATAAAAGCCTTACTTGGTCAAATTGCTCCCGATTGCCGTGCCATTGGTATGTGAATGTTAGTCCTGATGGGCAGGTGGCAGCTTGCATGGCAGCCTCTGCCATCAGTGTGTGAATGTGTGTGAATGGGTGAATGTTATAGTGCTTTGAGTGGTCAGAAGAGTAGAAAAGCGCTATATAAATGCATAAACCAACTTTGAATAGATATTGCTGAGTCATTTTGCTGATTTAATGACTTTACGAATCTATTGCCACATTAATGTCCTGGCCGCTGTTGAGCATCGTCTCACTCTTAGACTTCTCATACCGGGTCCTAGAGCTTAATCGCTGCCCACAGATGCGATTTGTTCAACAGTTGAAATAGAGTTGAATGAAACGAAACAAAATGACAATTCAGTTTGATTATTCGGTCAGACTTTTTGTCCATGTTGATTTAAAAGTTGAGATTGAAAGATCAATCAGAATCCCCATAACAGCTACTAGAGCTAATTAGAGCTTTCATGTACTAAGGCTTATGCTGTTTACTCTGATTACACCATAAACACAATATATAGGTATGTGGTCCTCTCCTGTCTCATCATGACAACGCCCTCGTGCACAAAGCCAGTTTCCTAAAGAAATGGTTTCCCAGTTTGGTCTGGAAGAACTTAACTGGTCTGAACAGAGTCTTGACCTCGACCACATCCGACACCTTCAGGATAAACTGGAACTCTGACTGTGAGTCAGACCTGATCACCCAGCATCAGTGTTTACCCTCACTAATGTTCGAGTGACTGAATGGGAGTAAATCCCTGCAAACTGGTTCAGCATCTGGTGGAAAGCATGAAAGCAGAAGAGTGGAGGCTGTAGAGCAGCACATGAACATGGCTTTGACATGTTCAACCATCACATGGGTTCAGTGTTCAGGTGTCCTAATACCTTTGGCCATGTGGTGTATTTGTCTGGCTAGAAAATGAAAGGCATTACTTTCCACAAGATCCCTGAACTTGTATGTTTGTGTATCAAGCGTGTTCTTCTGCCTCAAAGGGTTTCCCTCCTCCCACTATCAGCTCTGCTCGCTCTCCAATCTGTGATTATGATACTGAACAAACAGTTTGCATGTCTCTCACCCGTCAGAGGCCCGATTGGGCGACATAAAAACATGCTCATGTACGCAGGCTACACCCAAACAGGGAAGTGCGCATGACCGTACTTTTGCCCATCCTTAAGTGGTTGAAGTAAAAGTATAAAGCGGATCAGTTAGCAGATTAGCACTGGAGAAGTTCTGTTAGTGCAAATACAACAAGCTGCTTTCTGCAGCAGCTTCAGAGAACATCACGTGTGTTGAGGCTGTTGTTCGTAGGATTACTGATATGTTACTGATAATGATAGTGTGCAGTTGAGTATCTCACTGTGTCACTGTCAGTCAGTGCTTCAGTGTAGAAAGAGGCGTTGAGGAGATAAAAGCAGGAAGTGTGTGTAGAGGGGATGAGCAGACAAGGCAGTGGAGCTCGAGTGTTTTCAGAGTTCAACAGAGGAAGAGGGGGCTCAACCTGGACCTGCTGGACAGACACACTCACTGGACCAGGACTTTCAGGGGCCATGACCATCGGAGATCGTTGCTTGGTCTGATGGCAGCTATCTGATGTCTTCCATTATGAATGTTTCCTTGCTGCTGCTGCCTGGCTTCCAGCTGCTCCTAATTTTTAGTGTAGGAGCCAAGATACAAAAAGCAGTGGTTTCACCGGAGGACCGTGGCACTCGCCTCCGAGGCCTCTGGAAGCTGCACATGAGGGACGTCCTGCTGAAAGGAAAAGGTAAGCCAACACTCAGGAAACTCTTTTGCTTTGCCCCCAAAATGGAAACCAGAGGTTCTTTTGGACGACAGGGTGGAGAACAGAAGGTCGGTGGTTCGATCCCCGGCTCTGCTAGTTGCATGTCGATGTGTCCTTGGGCAAGACACTTAACCACAAAGATTGCTCGCGTAGCTGTGCCTACGGTGTGTGAATAATTTGTTAGTCCTGATGAGCAGGCGGCACCTTCCATGGTAGCTTTGAGTGGTCGGAAGACTAGAAAACAACTGGTAGTCCATTTACCATTTGACCATTTGATTTAAAAGGCATTTATCCCAAATGTTTAGTTGCTTTTCTTTGTTTCAAGTTTCAAGTTTCCAAAACGCCGTGTCAGGAAAATCACAGGTTTAATGACTAACCTTCGTGGTGTCTCTGCTCTGCTATTGTTCTCTGTCACAGAAGATGTTGAATATGTTACAACGTATTACTTACACCTGGGCTTTTCCAGCTAAAACTATTGAAAATGTGTGCTGAAAAGAAAGTTCTATTGCTCACTGAAACATTTATGATAGCAAGTTATTCAGCATTATATCTTTCTTTTGCCTTGTAATGTGTTTTAATCAGCGTTAATCTGCAGCTTGTAGCCCTGTGTAGAACAGGGGGTTGTGGTGCACCTGGCCTCTTGTGTTGCAACAACAAACACGGAAATATTCAACCGCTAAAACAAAATGAATTTGGAGAGATAATTGTGGCAAAACCTTTTTCTCTGTTCTTACGTCATAAACACGGAGAGAAAACTATTAAATCAGACTTAGAAAATGGATCGCCAGAATTTGTATATTTGTATACTGCCATACATATTCCTCTGTCACCACTCAGCAAGGACAGACTGTGAAAACAAAGACAACTACATCTAAAGACAATGCAAATTTGGAAGATAATCTCTCGATTTGATTTGACTACTGAAGCCTCATAGTAGCTTGGCTGGACTTCATATTCTGTGGATTTGCACAGAACCAGGACTCCCTCCTAAGCCGGTCTGAACAAGAGGAATGATGACAATAACACCTTTAGAATTAAGATATATATATATATATATATATATATATATATATATATATATTAAAGAGAATGAATTAGTTGTTGTTTTTTCCTTCTTGATGAAATGATCCAGTAGACCGACTAGTTGTAAAAGTGTCATGGATTCCAAACAATCATTCATCTCTTTGTAATGCAGCTTCTAATCCTCATCCAATCAGAGAAGGGCTCAAACAGCAGCTGCTCTACTGCCGTGTTGGGATTGGCTACCATCTCCAGGTTCTGCCCAGCGGCTCTGTTGGAGGTGTCCACGAACCCACTGAGCATTGTGAGTACAGTCCTACTACAGGACTCCTTCACCATGCCAAGGACTTTTTAAAACCTGCATTGTTTACATTCTGTATATTCATTCGTTTGCAGTCTTCTTGAAGTTTTTTATTTGCGATATGGCCAATATTTTAGACCCAGTTCTTATGTGAAAATGCATCCACGCCTTTAGACATGGCTTTACCTGCATTTCTTCATCTCCTCGAGGTTGGCTGAACGTGTTTGCTATGAAAACTGGAGTGGTGGGAATGAGAGGAGTGAAGAGTGGCTTGTACCTCTGTATGAGTGGAGAAGGACTGGCCTATGGAACGGTATGGAGCCCACTGCACAGCTCACACCAGTAACACACAGCACTCTCTCAGATCTGAGTGAACAGTGTTACAGTAAGGATGACTTTATGACAGAGCTTCCTAACTGAACAAGAAGTACCGGGTTGCATAATGGAACCAAAACACAATCGGATAATATTAAATGTCTTCCTGACTTTTCTTTTCCAGGAGCAATTTTCTGATGACTGCCTGTTGAAGGAGAACCTGGAGGAGAATCACTACACCACCTACTCCTCTCTGTCTCACCCAGGCATCTATCTGGCTCTGTCCAACAAGGGAGAGCTCAGGAAGGGCAACAGTGTGGGCCGCCACCAGTCCTGCACCCACTTTCTACCTCGGAGGACATCGTGATCAAGCTCCACAATTTAGGCCCAATTAGGAATTCAAGCAACAGATAGAAATGGCCTCCAGACTGCAACATGGATGAACTGAAACTAGCACCACATTCAAGAGACATTATTGGTGGGATTCTTTGGAGCACCACTTGCTGTATGTAAGGACAGTGAAGCGAGCTCAAGAGCTATGTGGCACCCATCCACTCATCCTGCCACCACACAAAAGACCTGACACAGTCTGAGGGTCACTCAACAAACAATGGCTGCTTATGGTGCAATGCTTATGGTGTTGGCATGGACTCTACTATTGAACACTGAGAAAAAATACAATAATATGCACATGTCTAACCCTAAACAGTAGCTGTTGGGATATATAATATATAGTATTCTTTGCTGATATTTTCAAAACTGCACAAGCATGGTAAATAACTGAAACCATTCAAGCTTATTTGTTTCTGTCCTCTAAGCTGCACTGATCAATATTTTTTTATATGAGCAAATGTTAAATGAGCAAGTGTAATGTTAAAGGTTATTGTCACAGTGATGAACCCACAGAGAACTATCACCACATTCCCCTGCTTTCTGCACAGCTCTTTAGCCTCTTAACGCTTCTTTCTGGGCGGTTTCCAGCTAAATAACTCTGATCTCATCAGCAGCGTTTCCATTGTACAGGAGCTGCTCAGCATCAACAGCAGACAGAAAGAGTTAGCAGCTAGCTGGTGAACTGAGTGGAGCATTCAGCAGCTAAAGAGACCGATGATACACTGTTCACACTAAATAGTTTGTAGTGAGAATAAGAATTGGCTGTATGTTAGTATTGATGGATGAATAGATACAGAGTTACGTTTGATCGTTGTGAAAAAGAAAATGTCTTTAAAATGTAAAAACTAATATATTCCTTATTAATCATATTTATTATGTTTGTGTAGTTGTATTTATTTTTGTTTCAGAATGCAGTACCAACCCGTTCTCACTCCCAACTCATCAAATACTTACGGTTGGTCAATGCCCCTCTGCATCGGAACACATGCGTCGATGGGTCGAACAAACACAGAACTGTCATCCGGTAAACGCTTCTGTCCTTAAAGAGCTTTGAGTGGTCAGAAAAATACAGACGCGATTCCTTTTACCATTTTGTCCAGTGAGTTGTTACGTGATGTGAGTCACATGAGTTGTTGGTTCATGTCATGACCTAAGTCTCTTGTAAGTAGCTATTTTCCTAAACCTAACTACGTGGTTTTGTTGACTAAACCAAACTTCATGTGAAGACAGTTGTTTATTTTGTAAGGGCACTATGCATGTAACAAGCATATTGTGACTGGGCAGCAACCTCCAGTTCGTGAAAGTGAAGTGTCTCAAACTTGAATTATTTCTACTGGCCACCAGGGGGTGACTCCTCTGGTTGTATAGAAGTCTATGAGAAAATGACTCTACTTCTCTCTTGATTTATTACCTCAGTAAACATTGTAAACATGAGTTTATGGTCTCAATCTCTAGTTTCAAACCTTCTTCAATACAGCATGATGTTCATTTAAATATGGTCACTAACGTTCACTTGTTGCAAAAAACCAAGATGGCGACTGCCAAATCCAAGATGGCGATGGCCAAAATGCAGAACTCATGGCTTCAAAACCGCAGTCACTATGACTACATTGACTTCTTATATACAGGCTATGATAGTGACCCACCGCACCAACCCGTTTTAAACTAGCGCTAGAGGGGTGCCTAGTGCGTCCATCTCTGATGTCAAGGTGCACCAACCAAGCATCAGTATTTGACGAGTTTGGAGTGAGAATGTGTTGGCAGTGCAGTGTTAAATAAAATATCTGTTTTCATAATTATATTGTCGTCTGTTGTATCTCTAGATATACAAACTTGGGGAGGGGTGAAACAAAGAAACATTGAATTAAATGTATTTATCATGCATCATGTAAAGATGTCTTATGTTGGAAGGTCAACAGATGAGCCAGCACACTTAAATAGCCACTAACACAATTGAATAGACTTCTGCTGTGATAGCTTATGTTTCCTGCTCTCCTATCCTTTAATATTTCATTACAAATTGCATTGTCAGAAAGTATAGTTCTTTGGCCCCTTCCACTGGTATTAACTCAGTCAGTTACTACTTTAGCTTGAAGCCATGTCCGGCTTCTCAAGATGTTTGACAAACTGAATACCTGCATTTCTTTCAGTATTTAGGACAGCCAATCATTTGAATTACCTGTGTATGTATTAATTACATTAGGACATAATGTAGGATGATTTCACCCCATTGAAAAGCTCTAACTTCATGGTATGTAGCCATGCAGGGAGGTTTAGTTTTATTTGCCCAGGATTTGGGCAGTTGGACAGTGGAGCTACTGAATGGTGTCCAGGCAGTGACCAGCAGCTTCCCTCCTCCTCCGCCTGCCTCCCCATCCGCCTCCCAGGACACGTAAGGGACACACGAGTATGTAACTCTACCCACAGAGTGGAGGTGTAGGGTCATCCGATCCCCAGACCGAGTGGCAGCACTCACCTGCTCAGATGTCTCTTTGTACCAAAGAGTAGGCACGGCAGGAGGGCAGCCATTAGGACAGAGATAAAGAGGGAAGAAAAGGGCAGAAAGAGAGGAAGAAGAACAGAAAAAGAGAGAGGGACATAGTGAGTTGAGGGGACATGGTCTTAGACAAAGCGCAGTTGAGTGGGCATGATGACGAAAAGCTTCGTGGAGATCAGTACGTTGGATACAACTTGGTTAACAGAACTCAACTAGCCTTTTTCCTGAGGATTCCTTATGTTATTTATTATTCTTCCATTTTCTCTTTCCTCTATCAATGTCATCTCCACTTATCCCACCGGTTCTCCTCTCTTGTTTTGCAGATCCTGCTGCCAACACCGCTCTTCCTAACACATCGACTCCCACAACAGTAAGTGGACAACAAAGACATTGGTGCTATCAGTAGACATAACATTCTTTGTTTTATGTCCTTGTGAATTGATTGGATATTTGGGGGTTCTGGACAGTTGGTTTCTCCTTCTGATGTTTATTTTCCATTATTTTCTTTCATTTCATAGGCTGAATTATTAATTGATTAATATTCATGAGGTTAATGAATAATGAGAGTAGTAATAAGTTACAACCCTAAATGAAACAATGATAGATGGATCAAACAAAGCACACAGTGAGAGACGGGAATGTGGTTACTAACAGTGACCATAGTGTTCTACCATGGAACGGCCCCTGTATGGTTCATGCATTGTTTTCTGTGCTCTTGTTTGTGCTGTGAAGGCCCATCACAACAGGTGGACACAATAGAACACATATGTATTAACAAAATATAACAAACACTGACATATTACATCACACATTGCTAAGACTGACGACAATAGAGTGCTGCAGGGATGATGGAATCTCAATAAGCTACCTGAAAGCAACTGCCTTTTCTAAGACACGTAACGCTTCTAACTTCACCAGAGGTGTATTTACTGACCTATTTTATATCGTTGAACAAAACTTTACAATCTCTTTAACTTGCTTTAACCACAGACCTTATTTCAGGCATCTAACCGAAACACATAAAGAAGCTCATTAACTTTTAGCCAAGGGAACCGAAAGTGCAAAAGTACTGACTCAGTTCTAGGTTTTAGGGCTCATTCCTGCAGTACTCTGTTTGAAGGGAGCTTATGTGTAGTTGTTTTATGTTTCTTTGTGGTACTTTTGAGTCTCATCCTAGTTGGTGCCCCTGACACTTGGGCCCCTGGGTGTGTGTTTGTGTTCTTAAGCTATCACATTTCAGAGTAAAGACTAGTTCATCGAAACCTTGTTCCCATTTGTGAAAAAGATGATTTTTGGATCAGTGTTTAAGGTCAGGGTTATCGTTAGACAAAAAATGGTTATAAATGAATGTAAAGTAAAGTAAACGTGTGTGTGTGTGTGTGTGTGTGTGTGTGTGTGTGTGTGTGTGTGTGTGTGTATCTGGGAGAGAGAAAATGAGAAGGAAGGACAGGAAAGAAGACGTAGAGAAGGCTAGGAGAACAGGTTCTTACTGTAGGCCACATGGACGTGGCAGGGATACTGTCTCTGCTATCACAGCGCTCTGTAGATGCCTTTTATTAAATCAATCCGTCATATGGACCATTTCCCTCTCTTTTGCTGCCATCTAGGAACTTAAGACAGAGACACCCCAACAACCGGACCCCTCCAGGATAGAGGTGGTTTCGGTGACGGAGGAAGACCTCCCCACTGTTGAGACCCCCAAAACACTGAACGTCAGCCCCCTAGGCAGCTTTGCCCAATCGGAGAACCATTCCACCAAACCTGAAGAGCCCCGACCTCCAGCTGCACCGAGCCCCACCATGCCAATCACCAAGGTGCAGCCATTCATCAACGGTGAGACCCTGTGATAAGTGAGTTAAGGTACAGCATGAAACAATGGATATAGAGATAACCGCATACAGTTAGAGTTACAGTGGGATCTGCTTGAAATATGAGATGATGTAAGGGACCCACTGTTTGTAACGAGGTGAATAGTGCTACGTCTGTCCCAGATTGACTTATATGTTCTCGGCTTTAGCTCTTGGTTCCTTGGAGAAAAGTTGCTTCCTTATCTTAAATACAACTCTGTGTTTTAGTTCAGCTTTTATGACTCTCTGATCACGAATGAAGAGGTTTACAGGTAGTTTAGCTGTGTTTAGAGGTCAACACTGCAGTTTCTGTACAAATCCTTAAAACAACCTTTCCCGAAGGACCAAAGGCTGGCGAACAGACGCATGCAGTAAGTGAGCCGGGCAAAGTATGAATGTGAAATATGACGTTATAACATAGATGTTTAGGTTGCATTTACACCACACATATTTCCAGCTCTAGAATCATGTTGGTAAGGACAATATGAACTCTGCTTGTGCCAAATAACTACATGAGAGCATTTTGTCCTCTTCTCAGGAGAGTGTGTTTTAAATCATTAAAGGTGTTATTCTCTATTTTGTATGTCAGGAAATAGAAAACCCAAACCAAGAATGTATCCACTAACAAGTATTGTGTGTAAATCCAAAACCTGACATATCTTCTTCCAAAAAACGTTTTAAACTTGTTTGTTCGCTCGTGTTCCTTCATTACCATGAAAGCACATACCCCTGCTGCCTGAAATACTCAGCACCAAATGTGGATTAATCCGCCACTGAAAATAGTCCCCAATTAATCTACACTTTCCTCCTGTTTGAGTGACGTTTGGGAAAAACTACAGTAACCAGCTGTTTTAGGAAAGTACTTGAAAATGAAGAGAATGAAGTTGTCTCTAAAGATGTCCGTCTTTAGTGGGATGAGTGATTAAACTCTTTAGTTTGTTCCACTCTGTTTTTGATTGAGGATAACAGAGTATTGGTGTGGTGGTGGTGCCCAATGTTTCATGGCTTAAATTGTGATGACAGCAAATTTCATAGATTTTGTTTATGAATTATAGAAGTCTCACATTATAAAAGCTTTTCTCTGACGTCGTAGCTCTTCTTGATGTTTGAGCTGTCGGCAGCTCATATTGTATCTATCCAAACAGTGTATATGGTCATAGAGGATTTTGTCTCAATAGAGGATGACTTGGAGAAAAGCTGGAGGAGCCGACTGTTGGCCCACCGCTTGGAGCTGCTAATGGCTTCGTGCCTCATCGTGGTGTTCACTCTCGCTCTTGGCATTGGCCTTGGAGGTAAGGAGCTCAATGCTGTGTGGACTTTGTCCATTTGGCTTTAATGGAGCCACTGTGACATGGACTGCCTTTGCTCCATCAATCAACAGGTCCTTCCCACAGAGTGCAGTCACTGACACATTGTCTCACTTCCAGCTTTAATTTGATGGTCAGATATGTCATGTGAACAGAAATAGCTCTAATATGAAGAAAGTCATCATGTGGTATTAAATGTCATGGTCTTGGGTATTTGTTGAGTCAGTTTCCTTTCTTATTACATAGTTCACCTTTATGTGTCATGTTTGGGGTTGTTTTGGTCATTTTGCTGCCTTGTCTGCCCTGATTAGCTTCACCTGTCCCTCATTAGTCCTGCCTTCACCTTACCACCTTGTAGGTGACTATCAGCAACTTAAAATGAGTCACCGAGAGGCTACGTAGGGGAGACTGACCTGCGGACGCGCTGGCAGTAAATGATTCACGCCGATCCAGTGGCTGAGTTTTGTGAGTTTATTTTGTGGACAACGAACAAACTTTGGGGCTGGATAACAGTTATAAGTGTTCAAACAAACTCGCTTTCTCCTTGTTGTGCAAAGGTGATCAGCAGCGTCAAACGATGACAATAGTGTGAATAGCGTGTAAATAGCAACAACAAATAAGACTCCCTCTCTCCCCCCCCTCCTTCCATTCATCCAACTAACTACTCAACAGCTGATATCCCCATTGCTTTCCCCAACACCACATGACTCAATTACCAGAAGTGACACAAAAGGGTGTACAAAATGGCACAGGCCATACCTGGCTCCTACATTCCGGCCCCTAATTATTACATTCTATGTAGTAATAATTACAAATGCATTACATGTGCAAGAGAATACACATTTCAAATGTAGGATATACATAGTCCATGGTAAAAGCTAACGAAAAAAAGTCTTTGGCGTTGAGAGCAGTGGAATGTAGATTCCAGCCACTACCCTGCCCCTCAGGCCCTTACATATAGAAATGCTTGAATGTCATCCATTGCTTCTTAAACAGAACTTCTGTATATCGGGAAACACCATCAGTAATTTATCATTAAATTTGGGTTTGATCAGACTCTTTGTCTGTGTGTGTGTGTGTGGGGGTGTGTGTGTGTATCTACAGTGGGTCTGAGCTGTGTGGGGAAGTTTCGTTGTGGCTCATCCTCTAAATGCATCAGGCCCTCGGCTCAGTGTGATGGAGAGGTGGACTGTGACAATGGAGAGGACGAGCTCGGCTGTGGTGAGACACACGCATGAACACACGTACATAGTAAGATCAGTCAGTCATTGAGCCAGCGCTAACTATAAACCTGAACCAGCCCTGACTATAAACCTGAACCAGCCCTAACTATAAACCTGAGCCAGCCCTAACTAT